ACTGGATGATCAGCAATCATCACCTATAAGAGAAAAATTTAAGCTTGACTGCTGGGAAAACCTTTCATGGTGCCTGCCATAAGAAATTAAGGACCATTGTGGTCATTTTAATAAAATATCCCAACAGGGTGTGTGAGGCAGGAATTTTGAGGCAGACCTGCAGGTTGTGGGAGAAGGCAGCAGAGAATGTTCTAAAATAGGCAAAGGCCATCCCTGTAACATACTCTGAACTATAGAGGAGAAATGCTGTTTCCTTCAGATACAACATTCACTGGTGCTCAGCGGTGGAGGAGGTGACGCGGTGTCACTCCTGGCAGAAGCATGAGACAGATGTCTGCAGAGGGGGAAGGGAATTCGGTCAACGGGAGGAGGCTTCAGCCACAAAGATATTTTAGAGCTAAATTTAACCAATGTCAACGAATTGTCCAAGATGTGCTGAGGTTTGCTGTATTATCTCTAGGTGATTTGGGATGTGCCAAAGCAAACCAAGGCATCTGGTTTCACTCAGCTGGAGCCACAGTGCCGGGTTTTTTTGGTGGCTGGATAGGTTGAAGAAATAACTGCAACTGAGAGGCAAACCTGCCTCCTTCCCACTGCCTGTATGGTGCTCCCAGCCCTGGCCAGCCACACTTTTGGATGCTCTCACACCCTGTGGCATTGTTTTATTTCTCATTTCACTACTGGAGCCAACCACACATCAAAACTGGGGGAATTAGAATGAAAGACAGTGTTAAAATTGTGGACTGATTGAATTGACACCTTCTTTTCAAATGAATGCTTTGCTACCCAGAAGCAACGTGTATTTAGGTACCGATTATTAACAGGCCAAGTGAAGTGAGTCCTCGGCACGAGAGCTGCTGGCTCTGCTGGCACGGAAGGGAGCTGCCTGCACCCTTGGCTGAGGTGTTGGTGGCTCATATTTCTGCATAAACATCTGCAAATAAACTAAAAAAAAAAAAGGCAGCACTATTGACAAAGCAAAGGCCAGCTCTATTTATATCTGCAGTAAGGCTGTGATAATGAAAAGACGCTTTCATGTGTCCCAGGGCCTAGATGAAACGCTGAAAATGTTGCTTTTAAGAAAAAAATGATAATAATATCCCCTTGAAATCCCGAAGAAATGTGTGTGGTGGACTTCTGGAGAGCAAAATCAAAGAAATGAAATAAGAGTTGCAGAGCATAGGGAGTTACTGCAGTTATGGGCTGTGAATTGGTTTAAATCTTTGCTTTTAAGCTTTTTTTTCTAAGTATCTCTTTAAAAGTAACACTTTAATGAGAGAGAAAATGTTTTAGTGATGCTGAACTGTAGCAACAGTGCAGATCTGTCAGACTTTACCTTATTTTGGAGTGTAAATCCTTTCCCTATGGTTGCTTCTGCTGTCTGGCCCCTCTTATGGGTGTCAGACTCCTGGAGGGGACTGGGAGGGGTGGCGTGAATGTCTGCAGAGGAGGACAGATGGGTGAGAATCTTCTTTCAGCACAGGATTTGCAGCTTTATAGTTAGAAAGGGAAGAAATTTTCCTTTTCTGAAAGTTTTTTATGGTAGTTGAGTTTTGTTGAGGCAGTTGGAAAATTGGGAAAATGTAAATATTTACTCAAAATACCGTCTTTCATTTCATCTTGTTGCATCTTTGACTAACATTAGTCAGCTGGTTGTTTCACGGCATTGAGCAGGTGTAAAATATGATTCCTGGGGCAGAAAATGCCCTCGAGCACTCCTGAGTGGGTGTGCAGTGTCCCTTTCTCCAAGAAGCCTCATCACGTATCATTATTTTGGCCTCATTGTGAATTTAGGTGAATGGCTGCAAAAAGCAGCACTAACCAAGCAGGACTCAGTGACCAGAACCCGTCACCTCCCTGGTCCTCTCTCCCAGAACACCCGTGGGTCCTCACCAAGACTCCCCCAGCTGGACTCTGCTCCAAAACCAGCCCGTGCCTGATGCATTTTATTTTAACCTTTTCCAGTCAACACTGTTCATTTCTGCCTTGCACTTTTGTCTGTTTCTACTAGATCAGACTGCTCTTCTCATTTAGGTTCTTTGATAACAACAAGACACTGTGAAAATCCCACCTGGCAGTAGAAGAGGTGGGCCATGAAATGGGTATAGAAATGGGAACTGATTTTTAACCACACCATCCAAAAGAGTTAAATGAAGGCAGCAAACTGTAAAGCTTAGGCTATTTGTTGAAGTTGAAAAGAGATCAGGTTTTGAGTCATGGAATTTGGTTTTCTGAAGCATGAATGATGATATTCACCCTTTGCCCTTGGAGCAGGGAACGTGCTTTGTTTGGACCATGTGCAGCCCTGAGCGTGCTGTTGGCACTCATCAGATAACTGTGATTATTAAACAGTGCACAGATGTACTGGCCTTTGCTTTCAGGTAGTCTGGCCAGCTGGAAAGAGTATGAAAGACCTTATTACAGACAGGTATTCAGGTGTGAGTTAGAAGACTAAAAGGAAAAGAAATTCTGGTTTACCTGTGTAATTAAAGGCACAATCTGTAGAGGAAAACAGAAAACAAGCAAAAGTATTTGTAGTGCATGCACAACTGGGGAGGCTCACCACTGTAGCTTGCTGAGAGGTAGAAGGAGAAAGAGTAAAGCTGATTTTATACCTTTCTTTTGTTCCTTAGGTGCCCATTTGCAAATATAAATGGGCAGGTGCATTTGTATTATTTATGTTAAAAGAAGATGAAGGTTGTAAGGAAGAGAACCTTGAAACTGGGACACGCCAGGTTTGCCACTGCTCACTCAGTCTCTGTGTTGGCCAGCCAGGCTGTTTATGTTCCTTTTCTGCCTGAGGGAGCTGCTCAAGAAGAGCAGCAGACTGGCCGTGGGCAGTGCCTTGGGCTGTGGTGTGGGCTGCCCGTGCTGCCTGCACTGCTGCTTGCTCAGGTGCACAGCCCTGCCACAGGGGCTGTGCTGCCCACAGGGCACCAGGGTGGTGGCAGCTGCTGAGGCAGTGACAACCACCCCCTCCTGGCACTTCTGGTAGCCCTGGGGTCCCCACAGCCCCTCCGGCGGGTGCCTGGGCACTGCACTGCCCTGGCCAGCCCACACACACTGAGGGGTGGTTGGAAAAGCAGGACATCCAGGTCAGTGTGCTGGCAGAGCAGCAGCAGCCTGGTTTGGCCATTGTCCCCTGGGTGCCTGTCTGACAGCCCCAGTGTGACATCTCCCCTTGGGCAGGACCCACAGGCCTGCAGGCAGCTGGGGCTCAGAGCTCCCCTCTGCAAACCCACCTGCTGAGGCTGGCACAGGCCAGGAGCTGAGCTGCCACACTCCCCCTTCAGCTTCAGAGCCACCATCCTCACCTCACGGTATTCAGAGTTTTCTGTTGCAGGGGAAAGTCAGAAAAATCCTGATTCCTTCTTTTACCTGTGTAAGGACCATTTCAGGTCCCACTTATATCCCTCTTTCTCCTGGTGCTGGACAAACAAAGCCCTACAGCCCCTCTTTAGCCAGAAGATGCTCGCTCTCTCTCTCTCTTGCTTGTTTTTCACACCTGCCACCCAGCCAGCTCCTCTTGAAGCTGGGCTGTATTGTCTCTCTGACTTCCTGTTGTCGATTGGGCTGATTTTAATTAGTTTGCATTTTCAGTTGTTTTTCAGCTCATCAGGAAGGATAATTAAAATAAAATCCTGCCCTCCGTGCTCCTCTCCATCCGTTGTAGCAACACCAGCTGAGCATGCTAATCTGAGGAGCGATAAAGGCAGGGCTTACTCCCCGTGAAGTGTTTGGAGGCTGGTTGTTAAGCATTACATTATTCAAAATGCATTAAATTGTCCTGAATGAGGAGGAAACGTGTCTCAATCATCAAGCTGATGGACATTAGCAGTCTTCCACTACAAGCTCCCTAAATTTGAACTAGATTCACCTCCTGCCTGCCTCATTCCTGTTCTGCGAGGAAAGCTGTGGACAGGGAACTGGCAAGGAGTAGGAGGCATAAATTGGAGATACCCACAGCTTGGACCAAAAGCCTTATATAAATCTTTTGGATTTCTAGACTTTAGAGAAATGCAATTGGAATTACTGCCTTCTGTTGACCAAGCAGGAAAGTTTAACTGGTAGTCCAGGATATGAACACTTAAGAGTCTGGAGGTGGCTTTGAGATCTGAGGGTGGTTTAAATGTTACTGGTGGGGAAGAGGGAGAAGGGGAAGTAACACATTTCAACATTTCCAGGTTTACAAAACGTGTATGCTGAGCTGAAGGCTGTTAGGGTTGGCTCAGTCTCAAAACAAGGAAAGCAGAAAAAAATATATATAGATGACAGACAAACAGTTAAGCAGAGATTTTTTCAACGTATTACTGATATTTGTGTTTGCTATCTTTTAGGTAAATGTGAAAACAACTCTTCAGAGTTTGTCTATTCACTCATAAAGGATTCTGTAATTACTATTTATACTCCTTGTCTGAGCACCACTATTGGAAGCCACTAGAATGTCATTGTTTCCTGTATCATAGACCTGCCATTGCCACTGTGAAAAGCTGAGTCCTGCCTTGCTGAAAACTTATGATAAGCAAATGTCAGTCCTCCCTAGCTGCAGTTAGCATAAAAAAAGACAATGCTGAGGATTTGTGTGAGGAGGAGGGACTCCTTTGGCATCTGCTGACCATGATGGATGAGCTGGGATTTCCTGTCCTCCCTCTAGTTCAGTAGCAGAGCATCACACAGGCAGATAAACCCAGCACAGAACAGGAGCCAAGTGCTGGGACCGGCGCACGCTGTTGCTCATTCTGACTGCCAAGCTGCCAATTACATGGCAATTAGTAGAATAAATGTCCGAGATGCGTTTCCCCCTCCCCAAACATTTTATTTTTTTCTCATTGTTCAGGGGGCAATGTGTCTGTTCCTGAGCTACCTTGACTTTTTTCACTTGCTAGCCTTAGTCATTTACAGGGTTTCCTTAAACCTCCAAGCCAGCTAAGCCCAAGGAGGCCTTGCCCTTGTGCCCTTGCCGACGTGACTCTTCATCACCCTCCTTTTGTCTCTCCCAGAGGTCAAAAATAGCTGTCTATGAGAAAATGTGGTCGTACATGAAGTCGGCCGAGCCTTCGGTGTTCACCAAAACGACGGCGGACGGGGTGGCGAGGGTGCGGAAGTCCAAGGGGAAGTTTGCCTTCCTGCTGGAGTCGACCATGAACGAGTACATCGAGCAGCGCAAGCCCTGCGACACCATGAAAGTTGGAGGCAACCTGGATTCCAAGGGCTATGGTGTAGCAACCCCCAAAGGCTCAGCATTAAGGTGGGTGGAATAATATAACAATATCCATGTTGTTATAGTATTCCACCTACCCTGATGTATTGTGTTGTCATTTTCTTTCTTGTGGATTTTGAGGTAACTTTAAAGTTTAAAATCTTCAATATTCCATGGAGTTAAATAAGACGGTAAATTATGGTTTCATTTATTTAATGCATCCATTTTTTGTGTTCTCTTCGTGTTGTCCTTTCTGATTGTTTGTTGCTGTTTTAATTTTACAGTTCAATGGCTTTTTCAATTTAAATGGTAAAAGCCAAGTTAACCTGCCATATGTGACGAATGTTAACTGCATGATGTGGTGTTCTTGTTACTTTTTTTCTCAAAGACGGTTTCCCCATCCCGCACACTTCAGTTTTGAGCAAATGTTATCCTCCATGCCACCTTCCAATATTTAACCCTGTATTTGCTGTACAGACATTTTGATAGCTCCACGTTCTGTGAAATTTTAGCCAATTTGTCCTCTTGTGCTCCTTTTTTTATACGTTACGATTTCCTAAGCATTTGTGCATTTTTTCTTACAAGTTATGTTTTATCGTTTCAAGAAATGCTGTTAACCTGGCAGTATTAAAACTGAATGAGCAAGGCCTCTTGGACAAATTGAAAAACAAATGGTGGTACGACAAAGGAGAGTGCGGCAGCGGGGGAGGTGACTCCAAGGTCAGCCTCAATGTCACCACAATCGGGTACCTTAGCAAAGAGTAATCGGCAAGGCTGTTATTTCGCTTCTCAAGAAAAAAAAAAAAACAAACCCCAAAAAAGAAAGCAGATGAAAACCATTTCACTAATTGTGGTGGGGGAGAAAAAAAGCCATTTTCTTGCTCAGTAGCTCTTTCAAAGAAACGGTCTTATTTAATATCATCAGCAGGCTTGGTCGAGCTTGGAAACCTTATTTAACTAACAGATAGAAAGTCCAGTGGTGGGATCTATGGTGAGCAAATAAGTGAGGTGACTGTACAAGAAACCAGTGATGGCATCTGGCCTCTGTACTAACCCCTGAAGACAAGGCTTTGGTCGTTGTCCATGATTTAGTTGTGATGCAGAGCAGGTTTTGAGAAGCTTTTCTTGCCAGGGCCAGCTGTGCCAGCGCAGACCTGGAGATGAAAAGGCTCCTGTCTTCTCTGCTCTTCTGAGTAGGGGTCAAGCAGACCAGTACCAGCACGTGAGGCTTTGCTGGCCACGAGAGTCCTTGGGAGGAAGCCTGGTCTGTGGAGAAGAGATGCTGGGGTGGGGCTGTAGCTCAGAGAGGGAGAGGGTGGCTGCTCACGTAATCACAGCATGGGGCAGAGATAAGAGTTAAGCAAGGATCATGGCAGAGACATAACCTTACACAGAGATGGGAGTCGCCTGTTAAGGGTACAATAGTAGCAACAAGGGTAACGTGTAAGGAGCTTGTGTTAGGCAAAGCTGAAAGGCACTGCTTGCAATTGGGAAGTGTATTGCTGCACTGAACTGGAAATTGATCTTAAGGAAAGAGGGTTTGGAAGTTTTGCCAAGAGTATTCAAATGTCACCTTTTGTACGGCTCTGACCAGTCTTCTGCACACACCTGTGCAGGAGCCCTGCATCTGTGTTTGACGTGCCTTTGCTACAGATGTAGGCTCAAATCTGGCTCTGGTGACAGCAGTGGCAATACTGTCACTGCCTTCTGCTGAGCTGAGGCTCCCCAGCCTTCCAGGCAGCCTGTTTGGTAGTGAGGCTCATGAAGTCGCTTCAGTGAGCTCGTGTATTGCAAAAGTTAACTAATGGTCTTTCCTATTGCCACCCTTACCCTGTAAAACTGGCAGGTTGTGCAGTCTTTAACCCAGTGAGGAGAAGCTGTAGCTAAAGTAGTCTGGGTACTGTTTGTCACCTTGGGTGCTGGAATTACCAAGAAAATTAATTTAAATGACATCGTTATAGTGAAAAGTACTGAAATTCATTTTCATAGTGACAGTCTCCTACAGCTAGTAAAACCAGTTCTTTAGGGAACAATAACTCCTAATCTTGCTTATAAAAATGCTTCAGCTTTGGTCCAAAATCAATAATATCAGTATTTTCAGTAGACTGCAGTTTCGGATAATTACTGCAAATTACTGCTGCATTCTATTAATAAGAGTTGCTTACAGTTGGCTACATAGGAAATTGCTCATCTGGTCATGTCTGATGTTAGCAAAAGCCACTGTGTAATATTGAAGGAAGGAAAAGCTCTTGAATTCAGGTTTGTTCAATAGCTGGAGGTCTGCACTGCTCAGTAGCAGCCTAGTGATGAGGATGAGCTTTTTTATGCTTTTTAGCTCTGCTGCTCATCCTTCACAGAACATTTTTATATAGTGTCCTACTTGCCAGTATATTAAATGTTTAATATTCTCCTGGGATCCAGCACCTCATTGTCCGACGCTGCCTCCATGAAAGAAAACTCTTTGTACAAACCAGCTCCAATGAACTTCATTGCTTCAAGTTCATTGAATTAAACTCAGCCAATAAAACTTACAGCCCTAAGGAAACTAAAAAGGATTTTTTTAAATGGTCATAATTAGGGCAGGGCCATCCTTCTATTTTTTTGCTTGTGGTGAAAGACCTTTTACAAAGAGTGATACTGTCTATTAGCAAGCCCTTGGCCCGCTCAGGGAGTGTTGCAGCAGTGAGTCAGGGATGCTGTGATAACATGAGTTGGTACCCAGAGAAGAGGGAAGGGGAGCAAACACAGTAAGGAGTGTTTTGCTGTGTTAGTCCAAAGTGGTGTCTTTCTGCAGTTTGTTGTAACCCCCTGTGGTGAAGGAGTGCTTGTTTGTTTGAGCTGCAGACACCAGCTCTCGGGACGTGGCTCAGCTGGCACAAGTTCCCACAGAGGAGAACGTGGGTAGGAGAAGACCTCCCACAGAAGACTAAGCTGAGGGAGGCGGAGGAGGGGTTAGTTGCTGTTTCCAGAGGTGTGGTAAATCAAAGGGCTCTTTTGTTATGAAGTGGTTTTTCGATTGAGGTAGCATCCCGTAGGCTCCGAGTGCCGTGGGCTGCGATGCAGCGCCCATGCAGCAAACAGGAGGTGCCTTCCCTGCAGCACCCACCCCATCTGCCATGAGCGCCGAGTTTGGGCCATGCCCCCACCCAGGGGGAGCCCTCTGCCCTCTCGGGAGCTGAGCACCGGTGCTGCCTTCTGGGTACCACAGCTCCAACAATCTCGCTGGCCTCTCTCTCTTCTCTGTCCTCCCACCAGAAGTTGCCCTCATCATCTCATCCCATCTCTCCGGTCGATTGTTTAGACGAGCACGGCTTCATTTATAGAGCTTTCGGAGGAGGTGGTGCTTCAAAACTGTTCTTGTTTTTCCCTTAAAGGAGGTGGTAGCTGGGGGCAATCAGAGCAGGAGGGGTGGTGAAGGTGCCTGAGGCTGAGATACAGAGTTTGCATCGCGTCACAGGGGGTGGTGTGGGGGCCATTGCTGACTCGGGGCAGCTCTCTCTACCGGCTGAGCTGACAGACCCCCTCTCAGCTTTGCCAGTAGAGACCCAGGCTTGGGAAATCGCTGCCCCAAGTTTGCAATCATCTGCCTCCTACCTACTGCTAATGGGTTGTGTGCAGCTGAATGAGTTGTTGTAAACTGATAGTGCCGGGTTCTTAAGGTGAATTCCTCTGTGCACTCTGATATTCCAGCTCATGCTGAAAGCCAGAGGTAAGTATGCAGCCTGCTTGCCTGTGCCAGTGCCCATCATTGTACCACAAAGGACCCAGTCACCCAGAAAATGCCCTCCTGTGCTCGTCCTCCCCGCGGCCTCGCATGCGGTGTGCCTGTGCTTGGAGAGGAATGGTTCTGAGCTGTGAGTTCATCTCTTGTTACCATATCTTCATTGACATTGGAAAATTAATCAGTGACTTCTGATTGCACAAGGATTTTGAAGCGGGAAAGAAGAAAAGGTATTCAATTGACTGTCTGCAAGATTTTTAATCTGTTGGGTTACACGGAGCGTAAGGTTAGTCCTGCGAGCATCCCACGCTCCTGAGGTTCACTCATCATTTAAGACTAAAAAGACTGTGCCATTTTAACGAGATTGTTTTCAAGGCCTCAGCTGACATGTGTCTTGTTTTCAGTGTGACCAGTCTATGCCAGCGCTGCTGTGGAGCAGAGGGTGCCAGTCTGCCCTGAGGTGCCTTAGCTGCCGGTACTGCCCTGGTGAAGGGACATACCCAGTTTTTATAGTGGTCCTTATTTAAGAAGTCTGAAGGGGAATGTGCTCCATCTGTATGAAACTTTTCTGGGATGCATGTCAATATGTGTGGGCTGGCTTGGCTGGTGCAGACGTTCTGGTACGTGCATCGAAGTGTTCACTTATCCCTCCTAAAGGAGCATGAATTCAGTTTCATGGCAAAATTATCCTCTCTTCAAATGCTCTCATACATGTGAGCTGGGTTCTCAATTATGAGAGAATACAAAACAGCAGTTATAAAAAAACCATATTCCAGGAAATATGTTACAGTGTATTACAAGTTTGGAAACTAATTATTTTGTTTATTATACAATCCTATCATCTTGGAGCTGAGTGATGGCTGAATAGGAATTTAACAAGAACTAGACAAAAGGGGATGCAGACGGCAGGAGCAGGCTGAGTGACTTAAGTGAAACTAATTATTCAGCTGCATAGGAACAATTTTCTGCTAAGATAAATTTCTATAGTTCTGCTGTTGATAGATTTCTTGTATTCTTACACCTTCATGGTAACATTTAATGACAGCCAACACGGAAGGAGAATGTTTGAATGCAGCTTCTCACCGACCTCACACACCAAGATTCCTTGCTAATTATTTGACTCAATTTTTTTTTTTCTTTTAATGTATTCTTTTTTAGGCTGATATCTCTTGTGGAGTATATCTGTGAAAATGATGTGCAGTGTAACACTACTTCATTTTCCAATTGTTTCTTTTTGATCATAGGATTACCTGTCAAACGTGCTATCTGAGTTGTGCCCTCAGAGCACCATCACCTTCCCAGGCCCTTCCGAGCTGCTGGTGTGGCCATTAGCAGATGGGATCTGTTCCCCCATTCCTCTGTGCTGGTTTGCTTTGATACATTTTCAGCACAGCCGTTGGCATTTGCAGCATCATTTTTTTTAAGTGGCATATTTTTAGAAGAAATCTGTTATGCATTACTTCAGATGATACCTGACGCCTAAAGAGCACCATTGCCAAGCGGGTCGTGCGTAAAAGGGAACATTTAGGGAAATGGCCATCTTCAAGAGATGCAGCACGATTTATTTGAGCAATTTGTTTGGAATTATGTTCATCAGCATAAATTTCCTTGTCACCCATTCTATGGGCCTGGGTTATGAGCTGGAAAAAGATAAAATGGCTAGTCAGAGCCAGTGACAGTAACACAGAGCTAATTCGTGCTCAGAGCTGGGAAAGTAATATGAAATTATTGTATTGTGCAAATTAGTGACAAAGCAAAATAATGCATTAAAAGGAAGACATCAGAATATTGGTTTAATTGACAGCTATTACTTTATAGTAGATTAGGAAATAATACTGTGCATGTTTTGTGCCAAGAATGAAGTCTTAATGCTCCAGAAGTTCATTGGAGTATCTCACTTAGAGCATTGGCAGGAAGGGCAGAGAGCCTGCTCTGGTTTGCAGAAATGGCAGTGCTGTTGTGCAGATTGTTGAGGGCGTTTTCCTGGGAATGCAACTGG